CAGTAAGCCAGTAAGTTGGTCGCCAGTTGCTCTGCTACTGAAGAAGCCAATGAACTAATTATTTCGAGAGTGATCAAATTTGCAAGAGACTTTTGAGATTTCTCTTTTTTTAGAGAGGATTGCGACAAGAACATCTTCTGGGATCTGTTGCGCGAACGAGTTGCACGCAAAATTACCTTGGGAAGAATCGAACTGGTACTTTCATGAATTAGATAATCTTATATTACTCAGTATTTCTCCTGTGCTGATGATGACCGTAGCTATCACGTAGTGGTGGGTGATGCGCGCACGAACGGAGGACTATTGGTGGATGGGTGTTGCGCGTTAGTGCTAGATGCGGCAAATAAAAAAAATCGGAGGCATAGCTAAACTCAATACTTTTAGCTTTCCCTTCTTGAAGAAGAATTCATTTCAGGAAGGCAAGATGTACGTCAAACTTGACGACACCCTTTTCGATGCATCTGGTACAGTTACACTGTTTCAAGAAGAGGGCGGCATAAAGGCGTTCGGTGTGGAAGATGTTGTGTTTTATAGCGAAGTGGTCCATTCGCCAACGTATTTGGCGTATGCGAACAGAGCTGTTAAAAATGGCAAGGAAGTTTTGCGCCGTCGCGATGTGTAAATTTTTTAAACGCTCATTTTCGTTTAGTTTTTCAGGCAGTTCTCTCCACAGTTTCCATTTTATTTAAAAAAAAAAAAAATATTTCTTGCTTATTTAGGCGTGCTTGTGCGTCTACGTGTTCGGATAGTGTAGCTGTGGGACTAAGGAAGGCTGAAATTTTACTGTCAGAACTGCATCCTTAATTACAGCTTGTAAACCTTCCTCTTCTCCATTCCGGCGTTCAAGGTCAGGCTGATGAAGTAGGAGTGGGATTGGTGGCACCAGGTACGGGGCTCTCGGTGATCCTAAAGTTCCTCGTCGTACAGTCGACATATTTTGCATATACACACGTCATGCAATAATTAGTGACGGAAACGCTTGATTGCGTCAGTTGTATTATGCGCGCCATTTTGTTTCAAAAAATTGGAGTTCGAATAACAGGATGGTACCTGACTGGTTTGTGGCCACTTGTTTCTTCCCCTTCCAAAATGACAGTCCGTGTGCTGTGCCAGTTATCACAGATGTCGTGTTTGGTTTTTAACCTTTCAATTTTGAATTCGATATTTTGCCTTACATTCTGCTGCATCGTCAGCGCATGTCAAGGAAATCACTGCTCAGATATTGCGAAAATGCTTCAGACTGCTCTTTTTCGACTTCCTCAGGCATTATTTCAGGGTCGATCTAAAGCCATTTTTTTTGGGACAAACCAAGGTTTTGCCTAGTTGTGTTGATCCGGAGAAGACTGTCTCACCAGTCCCATTCGTTTTGGTTAAGGCGGTTGAGAAACTGGACATTGAGACCGAAATACATGGTGAAAGGTGGGTGCTGTTTCGGCATTTTTTTTTATAAATAACACATCTATGGTGCATTCTGCTGTACTGTTCTGGGCCACTTTTCTCAGGCATGTGTGTACCATCTCTCAACAAATCGTCTAAGTCAGCACTGAATGTGTTTTCTAAATTTTTTCATTTTTATGCATTCTTGTTGTGCAGCGCTATAGCACAAACGTCGTCTGTGTATGTGTTCGGAAGTGAGTGAACTTTGTCACCCACTTTCAACTCAACAGCAAGAAAAACTGGAAGGCTGAAACTTTGGGGTCACATCCTCACCGATGTGTCATCCTCCCGTTTTACAGTCTTCGCTTTACGCGCCTAGATTTCGCGTACGGATTCCCGAAAAATAAATAGCAACGCGCACCAGACTAGCCGGTGCGATCATGCGTTTTGTGCAATTCAGCCCA